TATATATATATATATTTTATGCGATACGAAGTACAAAAATAACAAGTAGGCCCTATCTCTCTATCTGGGTGTGCCCCGAATATGACCCTTATTCTGAACTAGATGACTGCTATACATAAAGCATAGTGTTATTCATCATATTAATTACTACTCGATTTTTCGTATTTATTCGGTATATACACACACACAGAGGGAAGGTGCCGTGTCATGTTCTCTATGGAACAGGGGGGGGGGGGGGGAACCCTTCATTTTATGTGGAAAAAAAAATGCAAGAACGCGAGCGTATTTGGTTTATAATCCGCATGCACAGTCTTGCAATTACATTCTAAAGCCAAAACGGAATTAAAGATCAAACCTTTTGCTCGACCAGCAACCCCCTCTCAGTGTGGCAGAGATTTTAGGGATGAACCAGAGAGGCCCAAAAAGCATCTCACTCGCTATCATCTTCACTGTCTTCCAAGTACATATGGTTTATATTCCTTTCAAGAGGCGGAAGGCCGTCATCCTCTTCTTCGGAGTCACTGCCCGAACCACCGCTTTCGCTGACATCTGCAGCACCCAGAAGCAGATTGTCAAGTTTGTGACATCAATCCACCTCCAATTGACCATATGAGACAAGAGCATGTCTCTTTCACAAACTGAGAATTACCCTTTTGTTCGCGTGGAAGAGGATCCGGGACCCGAGTTTGCTGGGAAAGCCAAGAATTTTGGAATGATATGATTTCAGCGCTATTCTCACATTTTGAGTATGCTTTCAATAGTTCCCTGCCCAGACAAGGAATGGCAAGTTCATCTTCCAGTTCCATGGGAGGGATCGCAAGAATACGGGGATCAGAGGAGAAGGCATCCCTTCAGTAGTGTACCTGTTGAGGGATAGGAAGGCGTGACCCCATTTGAACTTTCCGAGCAACAGATTCGCAGTTTCCTCCTCCCCACTAGTGAAAAGATTAAAAAAAATTGAACAAGAAATCTCGCAAATCCTTCATTTATTATGTATAACATGATTGAAAGTATAATATCTATAGTTAGCCTGAAAACGTCCCACCGAGATTATTTCATATACCACCAGTCAGAGATGCATAAGAGGCTGTGGCTTACCATATTATTAAAGCTGCAGATAAAGCCTCCACACAAGATAGCTGGCATGGCCGGCCATAATTTACTGGATTAGCTGCTACCAACCACGGCACTGCAAATTAAGAAGCAACTTTCCACTTTTTACGAAATGAGATAATATATATATAACTTTCTCAAGCCAATGATTCTGTTTTCAATCTCATTCATTATCAAAATCACATACATATCGAGATAAGCCATATATTATGCCAACAAAGCATATGTGGAGTACATTGAAGGGGGTATCAATATGGTAGAAGACAAAAACTACATTCATCAAAGGTGGTTGAAGAAGTTCTCACAGAGTCTAGGAGCAGCAGAGCGCAACTTCACAAATGGAACATCATCTAAGCGAGCCCATGAACAATCAACGACGGCCAACCCTTTCCTCTCAATAAGACCATAGTCTTCCTTTGAAACACATTGTGTACCAACAGGACTGCCCAAAGAAAAAAAAAATTGCTCATAAGAAAAAGATTAACACAAAGGATGAAAGGCATCACCACCTATAGAATCAAGGTCTTTCCTACCATCAGATTCATGTAAAATTCACCATAACCTCAATGCGATTCATGTAAAAATAGAAAAGAGATGCTTCAAGATAAATAACCAATGGTGCAAAAAGATGGGCAGAGGTACCTCAAAACAACACCCCCAAAGCCGCTATTCACCCGCAATTCCTACACATCGCCAGATGCACTTTCAATTAAGCATTCAGGTGAAAGTAAAGTAAGAAAAACTAATATCATTAAGGGTTCACAATACTTACTCTCAGCAAGCCGAATCTCGAAAGCTTTCGACCCGTGCACCTCTTAGCATCACATTGACCAAAATCCTAACACCGAACACAGTAGTTACGGCAGTGAATAATAGGTCGATCAACCACGTTGAACGATTTGACTCAGCATCAGTTCCACCATGTTAGAACTCATTGGTTAACGATTAAAAACTCAACAAAGGCAATCGTGCATACCCACATTGCCAGCTGAACTTTCGGACCCGTGGTTTCACCCTCAGGTTCTGCGAAGTCCAACTCAAATTCAATCATTCCAATACAAAATTATCTGGAAAATCCAACGAAATTACCTTGATCATGTGGAAGCGATTCACCTTCCCTGAAAAAGGAATCGAATTCCACAAAATTCAATTACTCGTCGAAGAATATAGACCGACAACAGATACAAAACAAGATAACAGTCGAACCCAGAAAAAGTTTTACCTTTCGGACCGATGACTCCGACTCGTTTGGCCTTTATGCGAATGTCCGCCTCTTGATCGTCTTTGCTTGCCGTGGCCCATCTTTCCGGATATTACCGACCGACGAGCGAAACAGGAGGTTTTGAGATCGCTTTAGGGTTTATCTATCATTATATTCCGTCAGGCGCCCGAGAGAGAGAACCCAATCATAAACCGAACCGGTCCAGACCACGGGTTTGGGTTTTTTTATTATCTAATTAGCCAAACCGGACCGACGCTGTAATAATAACTGGCTAATGGCTATACACGTGGGACGTAACTGTAGGGGCAATTACGTCTTTTCGTACAACCCCGTTCTGTTCAAGTTCCCTACCATTTCTCATACTCATACTCATCAGAGAGTACACTTCCCGACCTATAATCCGCATGCACAGTCTTGCAATTACATTCTAAAGCCAAAACGGAATTAAAGATCAAACCTTTTGCTCGACCAGCAACCTCTCTCTCTCTCTCTCTCTCTCTCTCTCTCTCTCTCTCTCTCTCTCTCTCTCTCTCCCCGTTAGTACGAGAATCCTAGATCTTGTTCTCTGAACTGATTCCGTCCTAGGGTTTTGTAGCCCTAGCTTGACGATGGCGTCACAATATCCGATTTTCCGCTCCTTAATCTGGCTTGGCATGATTTATAACTGCACAAGATCTTCGATCCATCCACAATATAATATACACACATATATATATATGTATAATTTATAGAAATCCTTTGGTCAATCATTTTGGGATTTATAATCTCCAAACAGAGAAAAAAATATTCTGTCAAAATGTACTGTTTATCCGTTTTACGCATCTTAATTAAATTTTGTGTGAAAAATAGGGCTTTTTCTTTTGGAAATGTGGAACTATCCATAAAAGCTTATATGAGAAGAGAGAAGGAAAAGCTTAGGGTTTGAAATTTGAATTATTGAAGTGAAAAAGGGTCATTGTAATTCAATCAGATGCGTCTCTCTCTCTCTCTCTCTTTCTTAAAAATTCGACCATAAAGTTTTTTTTTCCTTTTTGGGAGGTGGGAGTAAAAACTCTCATCTATTTCCAAAAAGGTTAAGAATCATATATAAAACTTTTGGATAAGTTCAAGTTCCAACGAAATGAAAGTATATTTTTGAATTTTCAAATAATCAGTGATGACAGATGTTTAGGATTATATATAGCGGAACTCGTAAAAGAATAGATGAACTCTTTAACCAAAAAAAAAAAATAGATAAACTAATAATTACAATGATATAAGATAAATGTTACATGTATATCTTATATATTTATAGCTGATGTCACTTCTGTCCAAAATTGAAATGATCTTGAAAGTTGGTTAATTTCTTTCATATTCACTAACATATGTGCGCATGAAAATATATATTAGACACGTTTGACTGCATATTAAATAAAAGGGAATATTCCAAAATAATACTTAAAGTTCTCAATTTTCGCAAAATAAAATCTAAACTTTTGTTTGATATCAAACAAAATCCCAACTTCATTTTTCAGTCAAAAATAAATTCGAACTTTATAAGCTTTATCATTTTTAACCCTTTTGTTGACATGGTGTTTCGACATCCCATGTGACAAGTCAACATTTTGACTGTATTTGACACATCATCGTCCACATGTCACGATATTGAAACGTCATGTCAACAATAGGGTTAAAAATGACAAAGATTATAAAGTTCGGGTTTATTTTTTACTGAAAAATGAAGTTGAGGTTTTATTTGATAAAAAACAAAGTTTATATTTTATTTTATAAGAATTGAGAAGTTCATAGTATTATTTTGGGATTTTCTCTTAAATAAATGACATGCCGCGGGGTCAATAAATCGGCAATCAAATCAGTGTGCTATTATCACAACATTTTTCATGAAAGTATATCAAATATGCAGTCGCAAAACATTAAAGAAGTACGAGGTTACTGTGTGTCTTTGAATTGAAATACGTAGCAAGTAAAAATCTAACATTGCTATTAATAATGTTCCCAAAAAGGAACAACTCTACCGATGGATGTAGAAAATACGGTAGAACTAACCATCAAGCATTTCGGGTACGAGATTATTTATAATAACAAAAATTATTGTAAATCATTATACGGATATTACCGTCTACGTTGCGGAAAATCGGCATTTTCATATTGACGTCTTGCATGACGTTTTCTCTTGTAGTCAAATAATGGAATTATGAGGCGAAAAACTGAAAATGCCGACAACTTTTTTGTTGGTAATAAAAATACAAACATTTGAATATTAAAACTTAGAATATTCAGACCCTATTACCAATTTGGTTTCTATTTGTGGTTATTTACGTGCCAAATATATTTATAAAAAAAAAAAGAAATGGAAATTAAGGAGCGTCGTATATGAATTCCAGGGCAATATGATGAGTTTTAAGATACGCAGCGGCTAAGATTCTTCCCCGTATCTCGCCACCAATCATTCCCCTATATCAATCTGCGTGTGTTTAATTAATCCCATCATCATCTCAAAAAAAGATCATGGAAACAAATAAAAACAAGATATTAATTGAAAATCTCTCTTTATTTTTGGAATTAGTCAAAGCTTTTAATTTGCGATTGGAAATGCGGTCAGCAAACGCTCATTATCAGGATCAATTTCAAGGCTCTCGTAGAAAGGACTCGCTCGATAATATATTATAATAATAATAATATATCTACTATATTTGCCAAGTAATTTAACAGGAATATAATTAATTAATTAGTTAAAGGTAAGAAAAACTCCCCATCTTATATTCGGTGTGGACAGGCGACAAGACATCAAAGAACGTTCTTCATTGTGTTTGTTTTGCTGAACGGAACACATATACGTACATAAAACATGTATATAAACCATATGCACTGTTACACGTACATCTACACGTAAAAACCATGCACGACCAATTAATTAATAATATTGCATAGAGATCATTAGACTAGTCAAACTACCTAGGTAAATATATCACGAAACAGAAACCACGATCATTTATATTCTAACATAATGATTACCATTCATTTTATAGATACAGTATAATTATGTGAATCTTGATAGCTGATCACGTCCAACAAGTATGTAATTAGCTAGGTCTATATGTCAATATACATCCAGGCCAATAAGGAATGCAGAGAGAGATTAAGAGAAATTAAATTAAGTGGAAAACGAGGGATAAAAAAGCAGTGTTTGATTATGCCGGAAGTCGTATAGTTAGAGTATTATTGAAGCTAAAGCATTAAAAGACATCATATATTCAATGAACTCATTCAACACTTCCTTCAGATTCTTGCTAGGTTTTGTTATATAATCTAATCAGAAGAAAAAATCCATGACTCCAACATACTTTCTTTTCTCGCGGCCGATAAATTATTCTCAGGCGCCGGCGATGATCCAGAAACCGCCGTCGCAACCTCCTCGGAGGCTCTGAAACTCGGAGTTCTGTGCACAGATTCACCGAACCCTGCATTGATGGACCTCGACAGATCAGCTTCGACGTTTTCGGCCTCGGAATTGTTGTTTCCGTGGATTAGGGTTGACGTCGATGAAGAAGAGACAATGCCCAGGAGCCCGCCAAAGTTTGACCCAGAGTGTCCGAACTCGTCAAGAGACTTGCCCAGCTTGATGCTCTGAGATTGGTTGAACAAAGCTTTCGACTTTGCAGCGAAAGTCGATGGATCGGTTAAAGGGTCCTTAGGGTCGTGGATGTTAAGAAAAGGGTTGGTGGTACTCTGCGTGTTCGTGTTCAAGAGATTCTGATGTCCTGCGGAAGGAAGGTGCGAAGAAGAAGAAGCAATGACAGCAGTAGAAGAAGAAGGCGAAGATGACGACGCAGACGAAAGAAACGATGGAGGGATCCGTTTCTGAGCAAAGGGTTTTAATGGGAACGGGGAATTAGGGGAAGGGCCGAAGAGATCAAACCGGCCGGTTCGTGAGAAAGGAGAGGATCCGGTGAATGGCGGAGCAGGGATGCCAGTGAACTCCTGGACCATGGCTCTGAAATTGGTTGTGTCGGTGGTCAATACCGTCGTCGGCGCTCGTCTCGAGGCCCTCGATCTCTTCTTCGGGTTTCGTGCCATATTTTTAGTACTATTACCGTTCTTGTTAATGTTGTTGTTGTCACTGCTAAGGGCTGAACCGGAACTGTTTCGTCTCAGGTCTGGTAACGAAGTGGGGTTTGTGAAGAAGGCCGTTTCAGACGATGGTCCGGCGACATCGGGGACAGCTCGTACGGTCGTCGACGGCCAAACAGTGTCAAGATTGAAGTAGTTCGATATAAGAGGGTCTATGTTGGGTTGGTGGTGCGGCGGAGGATGTGGGCCGGGGAAGGCCCCGCCGATGCTGTCGTGATGGTGATAAAGGCTTGCTGGCGGTATCGCGTTCCTTGCGGTGGCGGCAGCGGCGGTGGAGTTGTGGTGATTGAAGAAAGCGGAGATGGATTGATCGGCGCGTGAGTCGTTCTCTTCTTCGCCACCGCCAATTGAGGCTTGCATGCTGTGACTGTTGCCGGAATCCATGGGAGAGCGAGAGAGAGAGAGAGTTTTCGGAAAGATTAGAGAGAAAGTTTTCTGATATTTCTTTTGCCTACAAAGAAACCCAAAGAGTATCGAGTGTGAAAGGAGTTTATGGTTGCAGGAGAGAAGCCCATTAAAGCCATAAAGTTTGATTTATATCTCTTTAACCCCCTTCCTTTTCACTATTTTTCTTTTTTGATTTCCTTTTTCCTCTATCATATGATATGATATACATATATATATATATATAGGTGAGACTAGGGTTAATTGCATCAATTTTATGTAAATATTACAGATAAGATAGATGTGTCAACCACCCAAAAATAAATAAAGATGAAAGGGAAGGGGAGGCAAATCTCTCTCTATCTTTTTCTTGTCCATGAGAGTGGTTCGTCTTAGGTGCATCTATTAAATTCCATCAACAAAATATATGTATGATTAATTGTATGCGATAAACAAAAAAAAAGGTTAAATATTATTTAAGAAAATCTGTATAACAATTTTTTTTCTCTCGCCACATCTTAGAATTGATATTCTAAAATGTTTCCATGTGTAGATCTCTGACGTTAAGTTACATACGGTATCAATTATCATACTCTAACTTCACCTATACATATACACACACACACACTCATTCATATGGGCATATATGCGTATCGAATCGACTGTTGTAAAAGTCTAGACCACAGCCTTTGACCGAGTCAAGATGTTATGAAACTAGTGAAAATTTAGAAAATTAGAGAACATGTCTCATCCCTGGAAAAAAAATGAATGTATGTATATATTGTCATAATTGAATAAACACAGAGAATCTCGAACAGTAGTCTTATTCTGGAATAATTCTGAGGAAAAAAAGATAATCATGATATTGGATGGATTGACAATTATCTTGATTACAATAAAATAAAAATATCTTTCGAAGTATAACATATATATGTATACATGCATATATGTATATATTGTGTGGTTTTTGCTTAATTAGTCCTTGAGAGGTTGAGTACTTGTCAATCCGTGAAATATAGAAAGGAGAAATAGACGAATATTTTTGGGTGGATAGATAGATTCAGTTCAACCATACACCTACAATCAAAGATGCAAAGTACTGCAGGCTTTAATTTATCTTTTTCAAAATCTGAATTTCCTCGAAGCCTTTTTAGAGCCTTTGAGTTTCTCAAAATGTATGTATGTACGTACATATGTATGCATATATATATATATATATATATATATATATATATATATATGTATGTGTGTATGTTGCCAGTAACGTGTTATTGTAGTGAACATATAAAATCTAAATAAAATCCAAATCGATCTGGTCTCATGGTTTGGAACCGATCCATTGAATGGTTTTGCAAACGTCGTTGAAGCTTGATGCTAATATATACCAAATTAATTAAACAGGACAAAGTTCGAGTCTACGTAATAGTCCAAGTCACTAGCCCAATATGCATCCCTTTCAATTGAAAACAGTATACATAAGCACGAGCATGTGTGTATGTGTGTATATACACAGCATATATGACATATATCACACGTAAATAATACACATGCACATGTATATAAATATAAATAAAAAGAGACGTGGGGCAGCTTTTTTTTTTTACAGGAGATCTTGTGACACTAGTGAGATTTTGGATTTGATAGGACACCAAGGAAATCATTTTGGGCGTTGGGTGAGTGTGGCTCGTACAGTTAAACAATACCCAAAGCATATATATACACATATATATGTATAGGTTGATATTGACCGCTGAACTTTTCGTATCAATTCTTCCTTCCAACCAAATATAATTACTAAATTCATCAATAGATATGTTCATCTGGAGATAAATATCCAAAGAGGTTTCAACTTTCAACTATTGATTTATATACGATTTCCGACAAAAAATCTCATAATGTTTGTCTCAGTGTATATACATATATAATATATATATATGTACACACGTTTAATATTTTATGTTTTCCCTTTTAATGAGAATGTGTAAGCTGTTACCCACCTTTAAGGCAATATATTTCAACAAAAATATATTCCCCCACTTATAAGAATATTTAGTTTCAATTTTTGCCATTTCCTTTTGTCCGTTAGTTTTTGTTGGTTTCCTCTCTGGTTTTATTCGTTGGCATCCACGAATCCGCAAAAAAAATTCGAGAACATCAGGTACATTAATTAAAATCTAAAAATATATAAAGTTCTTGCATTATATATATATATATGCGTGTATGTATATGTAATATCATGTATGAGTAGGGATCTTTTATATACTGGTATACAATTTTTCAAAGGAGCCCGATGATTAGGCGAAACAAATATATTGGATTTTACCAATATATATATATATATTGGATATTATGGTGTATTTTATTAACTTCATTTGATCGTATGGGGAAATAGGGAATTACGGAAAAGTCAAGGTGCGATGTCCGGCAGCGGCCAGGATGATCAATTCACCAAACCCCAACAATCGTTTTAATGTTGGAAGTCGTAGCAATTATGATTAGACACCACTTGGGCCAAAAAATAAAACATCATTTTATTTCTTTCTAGTTTTTACAAATCACTGTTAATTTTGCCCATCCTTTTTGACTTTGTGCTTCGATTTTAACCTATGATGGCTCTTGTATACTTCCCCCCACACTTTTGATAGAGTCAACCACGAATTAGGGTTTTTAATTTATATCTTTCGGCACATAAAACTACATGCAAATCGTTTCTAGAGGGTATGTTATCTCGTCCAGAAAATTGGATATTTAAGAAATCGAATTTTTTAACAGATTTTGATCAGTCATTTCCGTTGAAAATGATTTTTGTAGTGATCTGCATTCTAGATACGAATGTAGTATTAATATATGTATATTTACGTGGTGTATTTGACTAAAACAAATATTATTCATCTTAAAACCTAGTCTCGGATAAATATTTTCGTGTAATGATATGAAATATATGGCATTGCATAGTAAAGATTAAAAGATGCAAAAAAGTTATAAATATGACTACTATTCATGAGAGAGATAGGATGTAAAATGTCGTATATTTTATATTAAACTATTATTAAGAGCCATAGCATGCATGCATGTACTGTAATTTCTTTGAGGCGGTTGGTCAATATGTATGATTATTCAAATTTGATGCTAACCCCTGCATAATTTTTAAAGAGGTCAAAACACTCCGGTGTGTATATATATACATGGAATATTTTGTGATAAGCATTGCATGAAACATTTTGAGTTTTTAATAATATTCTATTACGGGAGTCTGGAGATTGCGAGTGACGAATTTAAACAACAAATCTGAATTTTAGCGTCGGCGAGGGGTAACACGACAGAGACATTTCCATGAAGAACGAGCGTGCGGTTCGGTCAAAGGTGGTCCTGGGCGCCACACACAGAGACGTCCACGTGGCACCATCTCAATCGAGAAACGTGGCAGAGATTGACCGTTGACTTTTATGCGATTGTCCGTCTTTGTTTTTTGCGAAGAGCTCAAGATCCGAGGCGTCTTTCAAACGAACGCTGCTTTGACAAATCCCCCAAAATGGTCTCGTGTCTCCTCTCTCTATAAACAGGATCTTAAGGGTCCAGAACCGACCCGACCCGACCCGACTGCCACACAAGTACATACATGGACCCCCCGAATAAGCTCTTGGGTTACACCTGAATGATAATCAAATAAATACAAATCACTTCAATTGCATGTGGAATTTGATTATACAGTTAGAAATTTAGAATACATTTGATCTCATTGATTGTAATATATTCCAAGGATAAAATATTTCATGTCGTTTTTTAAACACAAAATAAATAAAAAATGAAATCCAAACAAAACGCGAATTCTCTCGAGTCGTTCAGTTCGAAAGCGTGAAAGGTAAATTGGGCTGCTTAGCCCATTAAAATTAAATGGACAAATTTTAAAATATTTGGTCGATATGGGCTCGCTTTATGGTTTTGACATCTCTACCAACCGAAGAAACGTAACATTAAATTCATTACAAGTCTAAAACCCGAACTATGTACTGTGTAAGCATACTCTACTGTAGATTAATACTGCAAGTGACACGTTACTCCGTTTTTGTCCACGTGTTGTCGCCATGCACAGTCTCTCTGCATTTTCACCATTTTTATGCGTAGACCAACTCCTCCCAAACGAGAAATCAATCTCTTCACCGAAAAAAAAGGACGCCGGAGAAAAAGAGATGACGACGGCGATGTTGCGGCGGAGCATCTGCGGCACGGTGGCGGCGGAGAGAATCTTGAGAGTAAAGAAGGGATACGGCCACGGCATGAGCAGCGTGACCGGCGGAGATTTTCCGGTTCTAGAAGGGCACGAAGCTGCACAAGAACACGCCCGAGGAGCCCTCAAGACTCACCAGACGACGAAAGAGACATCGAGAGGTTACGACAAAGTGATGATGAAGGAGTTTAGGGTTTACAGATGGAACCCAGACAAGCCGGAAACTAAGCCCTTTCTCCAATCCTTCTTCGTCGACCTCTCCGCATGCGGTCCCATGGTATATATATCTATAAATATATCAGTCTATTATATTAATTAAGTTTAGGTTTTTTTGTAAAAAAAAAGGTATTGGATGCACTGCAAAAGATAAAAGCGGAGGAAGATCCAAGTTTAAGTTATAGAAGGTCATGCAGAGAAGGGATATGTGGGTCGTGTTCCATGAACATCGACGGGACAAACACTGTTGCATGTCTTAAACCCATACATCCAGACACCTCCAAGGCCATCACCATCACTCCCCTTCCTCATATGTACGTCATCAAAGATCTCGTCACCGATCTTACCAATTTTTATCAGCAGCACAAGTAAGGATGTATATATGTATAGCCCACGTTCATCTTATATATATATATATAGTATATATGTGCTCCTCTTGTTTTCGGTCGAGTTTCTGGTCTTGATTCTGAATTGTTCGGGTGGTTTTGAGTGCATGTAGAGCCATAGAACCGTGGTTGAAGACGAAGCGGAAACCTACGGATGGTCGTGAATACAGGCAGTCACCAGCGGACAGGAAGAAGCTGGACGGTCTGTACGAGTGCATTATGTGCGCGTGCTGCAGTGCGGGCTGTCCGGCCTATTGGTGGAATCCCGAAGAGTACAACGGACCGGCGGCTCTCCTCCATGCCTACCGATGGATCCGCGACAGGTAAGAGTTCTATCAATAGAGATCAGACATAAGAGTAATGGGTTCATTATACGATAATATGTGATGGCAGCCGGGACGAGTTCACGGAGGAGAGGCTGCAGGCCATCACAGAAGATAATAAAAAATTGTACAGGTGCAGGGCCATCAAGAACTGTACGGCCACCTGCCCCAAAGGCCTCGACCCTGCCGGCGCCATCTTGCGCATGAAGACCATGCACTTGCGTCACCTCACCGTTGAAAACATCAAAGATGTGGAGAATTGAATCTTTGATGTCTTGAAATACCTGCAAGTCTAGTGGACCGTTGGAAGAGGTTTCCAACAACTTATAATATATAATAATGTACAGATCGTTAGGGAATCTAAGATTATGGGCCTGATCTAAGACCAAGCGGATATATCTCTATTACTTTTTCGTCTGTCCTTTAAAAAAATCTAGAAAATCTAGGTTATGGGCCAGTGCCTGGTCTAGACAATAATATATACATTAAATTTTAACAAGAGCCGAAATTTAAACCGAATAATATATTTTGGTACAAATTTTAGAATAACGAATAAACAGTTTCTGAATCGAACCTTCATCCTAATTTATATCCTAATTGCCAATTTATATTTTAATTGTCAATTGCTCCCTAATTGCCAATTTATATTTTAATTGCCAATTGCTCCCCTCTAGATAGAATCTTCTTATGTTTGCATATGTTTTTTCCTCACACGTTGTGAATAATAATGAAAGAAAAGGAGAGCAGGTGTAATATTTACATTTTAAAGTAATTTTAATAAAATGAAATTTATTCATTGTTTTTATGCTCTTCCTAAAAAAAATCCCAACAACACGCTGGAGAAAATCATTTGTCCGTAAAAAAAGAGGAAACAACCTTAAAGAGGGGACACGTCTGTATGACACGTGGATGAAGATCATTCCGACGTGTTGCCTACCAGGCACAGTTACCAGGGTTGTCCCCACCGCTTCACCGTCTTTAACTGCATGGATCACCATACCTGTATTTAATTTTTTGTTTTCATTATATTCACAAAAATCAATAAAATTAAAATTCTATTTAATTTATGAATTATGATGTATATATATTATATCAATTAAATCGTGTTTGATTATGATGAGATAAGGGGAAACCATCATACTAATCATTACCAGCTAATGGATTAAGATCATAACGATTGGTAAGAGTTCCAAGAATTTTACCAAAAAAAAAAAAGGGTTCCAAGAATAACTGAAATTAGTACGTATATTGATTTTCTTAGGATTTATCAAGCTTTCATGGATATTAATCTTTGGTTAACTAACTTGCAATATTTAATGATTAGTTACGGGCCCATGGGTATAGTTCAATTATCATTCCATTTTTCTCATTCTAAATTTTCGTTTTTTCATATTCTAATTTTGAAATACCATTGCATAAATATTGTTTTTTTTACAAAAACAAAATATATAAAAAAAATATAAGCGGATTTAATTCTAGAAGAAATCATTGCCTTCTGGAAAAGATATTTAGAGTTCATCAATATATAAACACTGAAGAACCAAACTCAGTTTGAAATTTTGTTGTTGCTTAATTTAAATATAAATTTATATATATATATATATATATATATATATATAATCAGAGGAAAAAAAATAGAAAGACGAAGATGGACCCACAAGGGCCGTGGGCCCATTATCAAGACCGAAAGTATAGGGCCGATACGAGACCGTTAGTTCTCCGGCAGTTGTTTCCGTTTACCTGTCATGTGTTTTCTGTCCCCATTTGACTCTCCTATCCAAAGTTTGAACTTTGAATGAGGAAGAGTAAAAAAAACAAATGTACAGTTTGCCGACCCCTCAGAAATTACAGCTTTATTAATTTACGTATTCATATTTATTTTGATATATCTCACGAAATTAATAAATACTTGTAAAGTTTAATATTAATACTTTCTATTTGTTTCCATTAAAATAATATTATTGCGCTGTTTCCAACAAAATGACTTTTTATGTACATTGTATGTTATTGTGTTGATACATTATTATTATTTTTTTTATAAATTGTAAAAATTAGACTATATGTAAATTCCCTAAATACATAATTGTCATATTTCATATTTTCGAACATTTTACAATACACAATAAATATTTTAGACCTTTAAGGAACAGCTATGATTTTCAAGAATACTCATCAAATAGCAGTAAAAAGTAATTGAAAAGAATAGGGATCCACATTAATCCAAAATATTTTTTTTCCTATGACAAAAATTACACAGAACATTATATAGTATAATGTCATCACATGTAAGAGAAGAAAATGACATATTTGGTTTTGTTCAAAATTTGTCCTATCTGCATGAATTGGCATATAAAGGATTAAAGAAGACAAATGAAAAATAAAAAAAAAAAAGGAGAGGGAAAGTGAGAAGAAACATAGAATGAGCTCTTTGCATGTAGATGCGATGCGAGTGTCATTCTTCACTCCATGTGAAGCCTTTACACGTCATTACCACTTCACCTGTTATGTCCATTTTCCCACGTTACAACATGTCGTGACTGATAATTGACCCTACGTGCTTGGAAATTTTTTTTATTATAAGTTTCAATTTCGGAAATAACAAAGCAACATATATATCTATATATAGTCATTTAGATGAAATTAAAGGAATTATTTTATGTTTTTTTAGTTTGGTGTTATGAATTAAAACTATGTCCAAATTAAAATAGATAGATACACATCAATTTCAGAAATGATGAGTCAATCGTTTCAATTCAACTCATTCAAAAAGGGACGCATTTTCAAAGTGGGCCAGGGAAGTGGTATACACGCGCGTGACGAGCCTGTGGGCCTACATGGGCTTCGCACGAGCACTCACAGTCTTGATTTGGTATATACCCAATTCCGAGTGGGGTCCATTCGACAAATTGTCATTGACCAGGATAAACCGGACCCCGGTCCGATTTGCTTTCGATTAAATTGGGTTATGTGGGTGCATGTACGCGTGAACGCGTGTCATTCTTTTATCTTAAATCATAAAAGTTAAAAGGTAATTACGGGAGAAGAAAGGGCAATTAAATTAAAGAGACCCGCCGACCAAGGGAGAAGGTTCAGATACGTGCATGAGTCACACGTGTGGTGTTGGGTTCGAAGCACGACAGAAAGAGTCAAATGGGTCTTGTCGCCTGACACGTTTCGAGTTTTCCCGATGCCTCCCGTCGTTGGACGGCGTATTCTGATAACAACTCTCCTAAGATCCACATTCCACACTCTGAATTATGCAATATGCATGCCATTAATTTATATAACCCAGGCTATAATTGGCGCAACCATCAATTATATATCTGTGAACCTTTAGTCTCTTGCATTGTCAAAAATTTTATTTAAAAAGAGAGATGTGCTTAGTAAGTAAATATATATATATATATATATATATATGTTTCTTGAAGGCTATTGTGGTTATTCATGAATCAGTATTTCTTATGTGATATACATATATATATATATAGTTTGAAGGGTTCCCTTTTTTAAATATAAGATGAATTCGAACGGTATTCAAAAGTTTCTATGCGGATTTGGTTTCAAGTTTTGACGTGCATGCATATAACTTGCCTGTGTGTGGAAAAACGTTTGTCTTCATACACTTTATAATATATTTCCTGTGGATGGGAAATCTTTGTTGGGCAATAAAATTTTTATGCATAATAAATTTTTTTAAAAATAGAAAATATTTGGAAATCATCGAGATATTTTGTTATTAGAGATATATGCGGATATTATTAATATATATCTTATACAATAAACAAATAAAAAATAATTTATGAAAAGTCACTTGCGGAGTGACCAAACATATAATTAAACTCAATACGCATGCCTATGGCCTATGGGCTTATAAGAAAACAAAAAGAAACAATAACGCATATGATGACGGTGAGAACAAGATCAAGAGGAAGATTAAAAGCGTAGATTTTGCCGAGAAACACGGGTTCGCTTTCCAGTTACTAACCTTTTGGGTTTTAATTTTATAATAGCATGCAATCGGAACCTTATAATATTTTTTAAAAAAAAAACCTGTATTTATTTGCAGCTTTATCTCGCCTTTTTCTTGTAGTGAAGAAGTTATTTAAAATAAGGAAAATAAAACTCAATGGGTTTTAAGAGGGTTGAAAGAATCTATATCTCTGGGATCGCCCGTGAATCCTGTCATTTGCCCAATAAACAATTGATAATATGTAAGCATACGTCATCCGTATGTGATGTCCGAATGACTTTGTATGTGTCGTGTTTATGTATTTGATAGTGTGTGTGTGTATATATGTATGTATATATATATATATATCTTTTTTTTGTTGTTGTTGTTGCCAATGGATGTATTTTACCAAAGCTTAGACCAAAAAGTCGTCGTGTATTTACACTAAATATATTCGTTTGATGGCGTTCACATTGGGGCTCAACATACATTGAACCAGAAAAAAAAAATGCATGCACATGGCGGAAAAAGAAAGGTTATAGGAAAGTCTCGCCATAACTCTTGTTCGATTTAAATTGATCCCCATAACAATATCTTCAGTAGCGTCAATTGCCAACAGATTCGACCATATAAGGAATACTGATCTCTTATCGAGTTCGAATGTTTCCTTTTGCTTAAACACTTTCACATGGAACAAAAATACCCGAAAATATACCTTTCAAAATCTCGCCTAATCGCATAATTATTTAGAGTTTGAATGTTTATACATATACATATATATATATTAATAAATTACCATCCGGCAGTAGAATTCAGATGGTGAAAATTTGACCGTCACATGCGAAGGAATCAAATTTTGGAACTAGAAGATGGTACGAACAAAGGCTGCTTCAATTAGGTGTCGTATCCTCTTCCTAGTCAAATGTCCAGTTCCGGTCTCCAAGAATCTTATTCGTATTCTTGTCAAACAAGCAAGACTTCCATTGGTCGTCTTCTCCGACATTATAAATTTTAAAAGTCATAATGATTAAAATAAACTTTTCCACATGGTTAGTTTCCTAACCTGTTTGCTTTGTAATTTTGCAAGTGTTTTTATTACAGAAAATTCGATATTCTTCTGACTTTAGAACTAAACCGAAAATAATTTATGTATCAATCTGAAATTAATTTCGCAGCTGGTTTTAGGTGCTGTTAGTTTCTAGATGTCAGATTCCAAGGGGCGCATTATTGGACTTGTGATGTGTTTGTGTGTGTATGTTACCTCGTACTATATTATGTCATATCCCCCCACCCCCCATTATTTTGGCAATTCTCGTTTCTATGTATTTTGTGTTTTAAACAAAGCACGTAATCATTCAGAAAACCGTGTACATAAATCGATCGGGACCCATGAACTTGATAAACCATTGACTTATGGGTTCCCGTAAGATTTATAAGCTTTCGAGTACGGTCGGAAATCATTCACCATCGCGCACGTACGTACGGATCATTCATCCGAGCCAGTACGGGCCATATACTCAGAAAAACTATGGGTATTTAGATTTATTATTAAAACCTTCGGATATTTTATTTTAAAATTTGCATTCCAAATTTAATATTTACTACGGGTATCCGAAATAATATTTGTGTATTCGGTGGTATCCGCATCTAGATAAATATAATTTTTTTTAGACGATATTGTAAAATGTGAAATTATTTCATCAAAAACAATTATATTTTATGAAAATATTATATAGATGGAAGGTATAATTATTTATAACAAAACTAAATAGGTTTCTTACGAGTACTTGTTTTTAAAAATTCTATTACTCTTATATGAATTCGGATTCGTTGTTGTTTGGAGATTCGTATTTGGATTCGGATTCGAATGGATGTGAGTATTCTAAAATCGGATATCCCGTCCTACCACATATCTTTGTTTCTCTTGACATATTATTATACCATTGTATATCAAATAATAAATGATCTAAATAAATTGTGTCTGAATTCCATAACATAATTAGTAGAACGCTGAAAATACTAGGTATTTAATGTCTACGCGTAGATTCAGACCATAAGAGAGTAATTATATTAAGGCCATACACATTGGAATCATATGCACAGATTATTCTTCCACGAATGATACATAAACCACACCGTTAGTTTTCCTTTTTGGTAAGTCACGAAATAATTTTACCGGAATAATTCTGTAACGATGTATTTGGGGATATGACAAACAAAAGTAATAAAAATGCAATGTATAACTCAAAGTGGGCAATTGTTATTTCAACTGCGTCCGATTCGTTGCTGAGATGATTCAATGGTCCTTGTCCTTGGATTTGATTATTCGTTCCATCATATTCGGTGACATTAGCTTACATTAGACGACGACGTACACGAAAGACACAGAGAGAGAGCGTGTGTGTCTGGGCCGTGGGGACCCCGTGGGGATATGGGACCCACATGGGCATGGCCGGCTACAAGGGACCCAGGAGATGGGGCCTACGGGTCCCACACCTATCGCTATATTAACCAGCCACTCGGTCTTCCCTCTCCCTCACATCCCCACCATCTCTCTCTCCATCCTCTTCGAAGAGTGGCAAACACTTGGGATTCTAAGAACAGAGCATCTTTTTTCCCCCCTTCTCGTTTGTTCTCTCTGTCCTCTCAAATCCACTTTTTTTTTTTTTGGGGCAACCTTAATCGCATTCCCGAAAACAGGTATTCTCTTCAAACCCTAGTTTCCTCAAATGGGTAAGTCTCAAATTTCTCGATTTCGTCGTTTTTTCATGTCCTGGAGGAACCATTTCACCCTCTGTGCTGAATATTCTCCCCCTCTGTTTTCAGTGAGTTTTGTGGAGAAGAGAGAGAGAATGGCCAGCCAAAACGTCGTCGCATCGGAAGCCAAGTCCGGGATCATCACCGTCACCGTCGCCGTCGCCAACCCCTCCGCCCAGAAACCTCCGACGGCGCCTGGTTACATCTCGATTTCCAGGAAGAAGCTCCTCCATAACCTCGAAATCAATGGCGGCCACAGAATCAACGCCTGGGTCGACTCCATGCGCGCTTCGTCCCCTACCCACCTCAAATCTGTTCCTTCTCTTTCCCCCGAGGAGCGAAACTCTTGGATCGTAAGTTCCGACACAAAAAAAAGACATGAATGGTTAAATAAAAACAAAAAGAAAGTCAATTACAGAACTGGTTTTCCTTCTGTCCTTTCGACAGATACAGCATCCCTCGGCGCTGGACATGTTCGAGCAGATCATCGAAGCTTCGAGAGGGAAACAAATCGTTATGTTCTTGGACTACGATGGCACGCTCTCTCCCATCGTCGACGACCCCGAACGAGCCTTCATGTCGAGCAAGGTTTCCTTTTTTTTTCTTCGATTTCCATCATAATTAAATCCATACCATTTCTTTGTCTATTTACTTTTATATATACACATCTATATCACCGTGCTCTGTTTTCTTGTTGCAGATGAGAAGAACAGTGAGAAAGCTGGCCAAGTGTTTCCCGACTGCCATAGTGAGCGGGAGATGTAGAGACAAGGTACATTGAAGGGTTACCATTTATAGAACTCCCATCCATAAAACATTGAAGGATTTCCATAAAACACTTTCTATTTTCAGAAACTAATCGTTTTTTGTCTGGGTGGGATTTTTTTTTTTAGGTTTATAACTTTGTGAAGCTTGCAGAGCTGTATTATGCTGGTAGCCATGGAATGGACATCAAAGGCCCTACCAAAGGCTCCTCCAAATACCAGAAGGTAGACACACACACCCATTCATCAACGTATTTATTAATTACTTGTTTACTATTTAAATCGAAATTTCCAACAAAAATTGCCGTGGAATCCTAAGTTTATTTACGTAAGGCTTGATGTTCGTTTTTCAGGACAACCCATCTGTTGTGTTCCAACCAGCGAGCGAGTTTCTTCCCATTATCGACGAGGTAAAACCATTTCTTCCGTAATTTCTAATTATAACGTATGTGTTTATAGAAATATATATTAATACATACGAACTTGTTATGATTGCTTTCTCGTAAAATTATGTTGAAAAGGTTTATAAAGAGCTCGTGGATAAAACAAAATCAACCCCCGGAGCCATGGTGGAGAACAACAAGTTCTGTCTCTCTGTTCACTTCCGATGTGTCGATGAGAAGGTATTACAACAAAGACATATATATATATGTATGTATGTGTATGCACATGCACATGTGTAAAAAAAATAAAAGAGAATAATAATAAGAAACTAACTGTAAATAATATTTATTTATTTTTTTCCAGAAATGGAGCGAATTGGCTCTACAGGTTCGGTCGGTCATTAAGGAGTACCCAAAGTTGAGGCTGACCCAAGGTCGGAAGGTATGACGTTAAACTCTCTTATTGGTCGGGATATACATTTAATTTAATTTAATTTGTGTAAATCGATAATTCTAATTCGATAATGTAGTCTTACATACGCGTATCGATATCACGTTTTTATTTTATTAATTAAAAATTTTGTTTTTGGACCGTGCAGGTATTAGAAATCCGTCCGACAATTAAGTGGGACAAAGGGAAGGCCCTTGAGTTCTTGTTAGAGTCACTTGGTGAGTGAGCTCTCTCTTTTTCTGTCTTTTCTTTCACCTAAATAAAACTATTTTTTTTAGGAAATATTCCAAAATAATACATGAACTTCTCAATTTTGACAAAATAAAACCTGAACTTTGTTTTTTATCAAATAAAACCTGAACTTCATGTTACAATAAAAAATAAACCTGAACTTTATAATCTTTGTCATTTTTAACCTTATTACTAACGTGACGTTCCGACATTCTATGTGGCAAGTCAATATTTTGACCATATTTGACACATCATCGTCCACGTGTCACGATATCGGAATGTCATGTCAGCAGCAGGGTTAAAAACGATAAAGATTATAAAATTCAGGTTTATTTTTTACTAAAAAATGAAGTTCAAGTTTTATTTGATAAAAAACAAAGTTTAAGTTTTATTTTGTCAAAATTGAAAAGTTCAGATATTATTTTAGGATTTTTCCTTTTTTTATGAAACTAATAATAATTTCTCATCATTATGGCCATCATGAATTTGCTTCTCTAAAAAGGCCAATTAATTATAAAAAATTTCGCGGATGATACTAGAATTTCTGTAGACTTAGCAATCATTTCAAAACATGTTCACAACTCAATTTGTGTTTTGTTTGATACAGGATTTGGAGATTGTAACAATGTTTTTCCGGTTTACATCGGCGATGATCGGACCGATGAAGATGCATTTAAGGTATTCAAAATTAATTGTGTATATATATATATATATATACTGTTATGTCTACAATTTTTTTTCCCAATTGCGTATTAAAGTTACTATAATTGATTCTTATATTAACGAACTCAACACCGTTTTTTTATATGTTGCCGTGAATAATTAGATGCTAAGAGAAAGAGGGCAAGGCTTTGGCATTCTTGTCTCAAAGTTCCCAAAGGAAACCAACGCGTCTTATTCTTTGCAAGAACCCACCCAGGCAATACTCGTATATATATATACTTAATTATATATGTACATGCATGTACTCGTGTATACATACATATATACATGTTTTTGCAATAATTTTGTGCTGATTATATATTTTTATAATTATTGTTTCTATAGGTGATGGATTTTTTGCGACGGTTGGTGGACTGGAAACAAATGCATCCAAGAATGTGAATGCGAACTATGAAATAACTATATATATAGTAGTACGTAGACCTTTCGAAATAAAATATTATCAAACGGATATATATATATATATAGATAAACATGCAGGTATACGCTTAAACCTTTCATGGAACGTCGTAAAAGGACATATGGGGCAAGTTCTTGACATGCCCGTGACTGTTCTTTGTTCGTCATATTGTTTTTAGGAAAAAAAGACGAACAATATGATATATGTATATATGTATACATATGTATGACCGCAGAGAATATGAGAGGTCTATTTTATGTAGGCTCGAGGGTCTTTGTACTCTTATAGCTAGGTTTGTGGAATGGTATATTTTGTAAATTTATTAATATGCAAATGTGTATTAATTAAAACAGAGTCATAATTCTCGCTTCTCCTTTTGTCACCGCGTTTTAATTATATCATATATTTTTTTATGGAACGTTAAATTTTAAGAAATTCCATGAAAATTCAAATATTAGTCTAAATATATCACATAAATATCACGATTCTAAAATTGCTAAATAAACACCTCAATTTATTAATTTTTTATTATACTACATAAATCATGACAGTGTTATCGATGCGACCTTTTGATATAAATTGATCAACTTGGGATGTTTATTTGACACTTTAAAAATAGAGATATTTATATTGCACATCTATAAATAAATAAAAAGGAAAGTAAAAGCCAAAATAAAAGCTATAGCAACAGTCAGACAAAAGGGTGCAAAATTTTATATATATATATGTGCGCATATATATATATATATATATATATATATAATGTGAATAAATTGGACTTTGATGAATATATGTCGTTGTCGGTGTACTTGTCGACCGAAACTTTGACACATATCACCGTGGAACATGTCAGACAATGACATATCCAAATTTGTCTGTTACTTTCAAAGTCTGAGAACATTTAAATTTAGTGCAATCTTTGGTTAGTAATTAATGACAGAGACAAACCCTCGAATTTCCAAGTTTTTTTTTGTTTGAAGTGAAGTCCTGTTCCAGTTCTACTACATTACATGCATGCCTTTTGTTTAATTCATGATACTAACGTTACTATAAAGATTTAAACAAGGTTTTATATATAACGTATAAATTTGCATTCGATATGCTGATGGCTATATATAAATTGCTAGGCTTTTATTATTATATGTATATAAGTTTAACATATATACGAAGACGGTTACAGTTTCTATGTTTTTATGGTAAAAATTGACATCAAACTTTACGTTGAAATATTTGGTGAGGCGATAAGATAAGAGATAACGGATAACATGAGTACCTTTACAAATTAAGGGAATCAAACGGATTAGATTTTCCTTTCTTAAACCATTACTTCACTTGCTACATTGCGAGCTATCTATCTCTATATCGTAATTTCGGATTATATATCTTGGCATTTACCTTAATTTAACACATAGGATAAACTAATGACAAGTGCTATATCTGTTAAATATGTGTATTTCGAACAACTTGAGCAAAATTAATCCAAACCCTTAATTAGACTTGCGTATGATTTACTTTCCTTCAAAAATATGCGTATAGTGTATAAATATCTCTTTGTAACAAAGACAATGCATGCGACTTAGTCAACTTTTTTTTTGTTGTTGTAACGATAAGGTTCACTAGGTTAATTTCGGTCCAACTTATCCCATATATATAGGTCCGGAAGCGGCCTTTGGAACAATTAAATTGCACCTTCCATTCCGCCAATCGACTCGAACATGGGATTTCTAAGACTAGTGAGCCCCAAACTAACATCTACGAGTTACAAAGTAAATTAGTAAACTTATATAGATAGTTTATATATATATATATAAGCGACCTTAAATTATATGTGGTATATGTTGAATCATTTGATCGGAATAAAAGACGATTCTTTTGATGATATTGAGATTGGTCAATCGATTTTATTTTGTAATTAACGATGTAAAGATAATTAGCTTTCGACATAATAATTCGTACAGATCATGTAGAAAGTATTACTATATCCATAGTTTTTTTTCCCTTCTTTATCGGGCATTGAGGATTAGGAATATGGTGGGGAAAAGAAAATCCATCAATCTAAGAAATCTTAGTTATAAAGTAAGAAGTGAGGAGTTGGAATCCACTCAAAAGAGGGCCGTGTCCACGTGTTGAAAAACACACACAAAACATGAAAATAAAAAAAAAGATTCAAAGAAAGACAAAAAAAAAAAGATGACAAAGACGAATCCAAACTCTTTAAGTGTTGACAAACTAAACTCAGTTTCTCTCTTTCGAACGTGGAAAGATGGTCTCCTCCACCATTACTCAACCATCGCAATCCTTGGCGCCTCTAACTGAAATAATAATAATAATAATATTATTATTATACCCTAATAATACTTTATTAAACTCTCCATTATTGGCGAAGAGCGATTAACCACATATATATGTCAGAAAAAACTCATGTATGTTATGGTATATTAAATCAAGAACACAGTTTGATATGAATACGTGGAACTTTTGTCATATTTTTAATGAGCCATGTGAGGGAGCTATAAGGGACGTGCCCATTAATTTATTAGGGTACATGAAACTGTAACCCTTATCATATTGGTCGCTTTGTTTATTATTGGGGTCCTCGGCCATACGATCGAGATCAGGGGAAGGTTTTCTTGTTCCTCCTCTTTTTTCATATAAAAAACCAAAATGTTTACTTTTTATTTTTATTTTTAATTTGAAGAAAACTAATAAAGTAATGCAATGTTGCATGGGAAGTATGGTCCTTTGAAGCTCATCTCCCATAGTTTTTTTTACACGTGTAGTTTTGCATGGGAACTTGGTCCCTGCTTTGAGGGTCGAGCCTAATTTACACTGCTATTATATATATCAATATATGTATATATACATTGAATACATACAAGGTTATGTATACATGTATTTGCGTTGAAAGATATACTACTAGGTTTTATGTTCTTAAGAAAAATGTCACCAAAATTTTGTTGAAATAGAAAAAGGCATATTTTTTTTTTCGAGTAAGCAAAAGGTATCCAATTTCTTATTTAAAATTCTAATTCGAATAAAAATTTGCAAGTGGGAAAAACAAAATCAACAGAATTTGTGAGAAGGTGCATAAGTAAGTGGGCTATTTCTCATGACAATTTAAGATATTGGGCCCTTCACATTTCTCGGTACTTAGTAGACATGGCATGGGCCCGACATTCAGATAACCGGGTCCGGTTTTTTTAAGCTGGGAAAAACAGGTTCTTGCTCCATTTTGGGCACTTCAGGCTCTGCTTCATAAACTACAGAGAAGCCCTCACCTGTTTTTGCCAGATTCTTGAACTCCGTCCAAGGTAAGTTGTCCAAGATGGCCTGAAGCTTCTTGTTTACCAGACGGCGGCAATGGATTGTAGTCGACATGGCGCGTGTGGTAAGGGAAGTTGAGACACGCAAAGTCTCCACGGAGCTTGAAAGCGGCCTGGTCGTAGGCCAAGGTGGTTGGTTCCGCGGTTGCGAACGTACCAAACCATAACCGGGTCCGGTTTTTAGGTAACCGGATCTCGGCCACCCATTTGCCCCAATGCCTTTGTGTTACCCCTCGGTAAAGCTTTGTCGGTTTGCTTAGCCCGGATGTTGCACTTGCAGCTGTGTTCTTCATTGGGATTCACTTTGCAGTGAGAAGATGGAGCCTTATGGCTTCTGTGGCGACCTTGGTTTTGGTTCTGCCTGAAGTAGAATCCGGTTTGTATTCGCAGGATTTGAGCTGGAGTAAGTTGGTTTAAACCAATCGGACCGGTCTGGTGAAGACCCATATGGGTTGGCACCGGTACATGCCGGTTAGTGAAATTAGGGGTTAAGCTAGGTTTAAAAGAAGAAGAAGAAGGTGGTTCCATGAAAGGTTCAAGAGCTTCCATGAACTCATCTCTGCAACTAATGGCGTCCAAAGCTGTGGCCATTTGAACAGAGAAAAAATATATATATATTTTTTTTTGTAATTCCTACAAAATGGGAGAAAACGAGAGAGAATCTTGGGTTTGAGAATTCGTCATAGCTTTGCCTTATATACGAGTGAACTCAGCTACTGGGTTTTGTCTAGTGAAGGGTGACGTCATTTCGCAAAAAAAAATTATTAGTTTTTTTTCCATTTTTTTGTAAGGCGGTGAAATTGATTAAATTTTTTTTTTGTTTAATTAGAACCTTTATATGGAAATTTAAAATTTGTCCAATTTCAAGCTAAATCTTCAATCGATTACAAATATACACTGGAATTAGAGTTGAAATCATCTTTAAGAGTTGTAATCTTGAAAAGAGGGTGGAATAAGCAGGAAAAGATTTCGTGAAACAGGAATTACAGAGGCTATTAACGAGTTGAAAAGCAGAGACGACGTTCGAAGTCTTACAGTCTCAAAGCAGTAAAGATTTGCTCCATCGATCTATTGCTGAGGCGTTTTTGAAGCTCTTTCCAGATCCATCTTGCAATTATCCCGCAACTCTATCATGGCGACGAAGCTCATTTGCTGCAAATTGGAATATATAACAGACATCATCTCAAATACACAACGTAACATATATGTGTGTGTGTGTATGTATATATATATGTATGTACCTTTGTAGGAAAATAAGGTTTTTGCTGAGAAAACGGCGGAAGATTTGAGATACTTACAAGATGGTTACTTTCGCGTGATAGGATATCACCCATGTTAAGAAAGAGTGATCTCCATTGAGACACGAGATCAGACTCCAGTTTGATGGAACTGGTTGAGTTCGCAGAGCCATGAAAACCTGTCTGCTTTCCTCTAGAATTCCTCTGGATCAAGCTTGCAGCCTCTTTCTGACTCTTCTTCAACACTATTTTTTTATATATAAAAAAAATGAAATGGAGCAAAAACATCGATCTTACCATACACGGATCACAGTTATCTAACACAGAGCTCGAAAGGTCTGACGTGAGTTACCAGATAATCGGCCTTTGATATCCTGGTAATGAAGATCCGACCAGATATATGCAGCTGAAAAGATCGAGTATAGCCACAATCGAATTAGATCAAATCAAGTGAGACGATCGATCAGAAGTTAAGAAAATCAGAAACCTTTCAGGCAAAATGAACAAGAGCAAGATTTCAGAAGGTCAGCTCCCATATTGTGATCCACATGTCCCATCCTGTCAATGGATGAACATCTACTCATTTCAAACGATCTGAAACCCTGGGAATCAGGCAACTCCCGGCCTCGTGTAGCTTCATCTCCCCCCGTCGTCAATATATCACAACCTTCGGAACCGGTACTGAAAACAGGTTTGGCTATGCCCTCACCAGTAACATTGCATTCATTTTCGGTAGAGGGCATGTCCGATGTGTCTTTCTCACTATGTTCTAAACATGGCTGCACAGAATTACTAGATGACATGTATCGGTCCTTCTCACCATCTTCGTTGGCAATCTCCACTGCAGCATTACCGTCGCCAGCTTTAAGAGATTGAGCATCAACGTCTAACGCATCTTCTGCATGATTAGATTCCTCGGGTTCTTTTCCAACAACACGTGCAGTATTTTCAACGGGCGAACAACCAGAACAGGTGTTATCTTCGAAAGGGGAAGAACCTGTGTTGCTATCACTTCCTCTAGAACTCTCCTTGACCAAGTCCTCTACAACTAAACATAACCTCTTTGAGAATTTCACCCCCGATTTCTCCCGCACGGCTGTATTACCAGACTCATCACCAGATTTGAGTAGAAAATCACCCAGAATCGAAGATATTCCTCTTTTGCTGGGGAGGTTAGTCATATCACCCAAAGTGGGGCGTGCTTCCTTGGAACCTACGCTGCAGCTACCTCCAGTCATCTTAAAATCACCCAACCACGACAAGAGAGAAAATTTTAGATTCCGAACACAAAATGCACGAAAGACAAATTTCCAAGATGAATTTCACCTGTAAGAGATTAACATAGTACGAGAAAGATGATGACTATCTCAATCGATTAACCCTAGAACCTCATACGCATGGGTAAGAAGTAGCCCAGCCAAACCCGACGAGTGTACATTACGCCAAAATAAATAAATTTTAACAAAACCCACTTCAAAAACTCAAATTTGCAACCGGAATTTACACAATGCAAGGGGATGAGTGAATTCGAACAGAAGAAGGAGAAGATACCGTAAAACCAAAAGGTTAAATTTCGATACGAAGATAACGAAATGGAGACTATCGGCCCATATAATTTACTGAAGAGATTACGGACCTAGGCATCGACAGAATCCGTTACAGGGCAAAATCTGCAGGATCTGCGAGGACAATCGTTGTAGAATACTTCCAGTGAGAGTGACGAAATTAGGGTTTTGATTTCGTTGAGGCGGGAACTGTATGCATTTTCCGAATTCTTATCTCGATACCTTCACCCGCGTTTCGGATTCTAACTTTGCGTCGGAGAGCGCGTGTTCGGCACTTGCGACTTTGGGCCGGATTTACAAACTGTAGGACATGATAGCCCATTAATGGCCCAATTTATATAAAAGAAATAAATTACTGGGCCCTATATTTATAACGGCCCACTTGTCTACTGAGCTTCGTATTTACGATTTCAAGAAATTTCTAAAACGCAGCTGCACCATTAGGCACGTCATATATTATTCCATTTATAGTATGGTTTCATTCTAACAGTCTCACCAGCCGAAGAGACTCCCAACAACAACAATACATAAAAAAAATATATAACGACAATAACAAGAACGAGTATATATATATATATATATATATATATATATATATATATATATATATATAAAGAAAAAGACATTAACTAGAA